AGAGGAGAGCAATGAATGGGATTAATATATAGAACAGCGGTTGACCTGGTCTGGATAGTGACTTTATCAGGATTGCAAGTGCGCCCACGAATACCTCATCGTTCAACTGACGGACTCTGTTCAGAAGAGAACGGCAACTCATTCATCCCAAAGAGGAGAATGATCAATACACTAGTTCAACTGGACCGAAACAATCCAGGGATGTGTGATTGAGTGTAGTTTGATCAAAATAGACATAGCACAGCTGAAGCAGAGTTGTTTCTTTCATTTCAATCGGGCACCGTGAGAACCATTTGGTCCGAAAACTTTATCAAGATAAAATTAGGATCCTATGGTTTGATCGCAAGCCCAATACGACCAAATAGGGGAGATTTTGGCCAGACTAGGGTATGGATAGACAAGAGGACATCACGACGTCCCTCGGGTAGGTGATTGAGAGACCAAACACCTTGAATGACGAGAGAGAGAGATTGGTTGTGAATGAGCACATTCTGTCTGCCGATTGAATCAAAGGGGATAGGACGTTTAATGGTGCGTTACACACTAGAAATGCGGTTCCTTCGGGTTTCGCGTTATCCATCTGGTAGTAACAGTAGTAACAGATGCACAAATGATATTGAAATATTTAACCCCATACTGGGATTATTCTCATCCGGTGAAGGCGATAAGTAGCGACTGCGAAATATGGGCAATAGTTGCCACTGGTTTGCAATATGAATCCAAACCTGACCCGGGGGTTGCAAAATGTGTCTGCTTGGAACACTCTGCCCCAATTAGTTTGATGTGCTTCCGAGTTGGTCGGAACAAAACTGTCACCAAATTATCCGGTTGACCCGGAAAACCTGATCACGTGGACGAATCAATCCCAATCTGTCACTGGGCCTTAGTCATACCCAGGGCAAGTGAAAAAGTCAGGTTTGATAAAGGTTTGCCAATTCAAACCATTCGAGACCAGGCCGATAACAGGGTGTCCACGAAGTCTGTGACTAAAGGACCATTTTTCACATTCTACTAGAAATAAACTTGAAACGGCTATTAATAATCAAATTATAATTGTCCCCACACTCAGATAGATGCACGTGCACACAAGGATAAACAAACGAAGAATTATTCCGGTAAAAAAATCAGTCGTTTACTGTGAAAGTGATACGGGTAAACAGATAAACAGAATAAACAGAACACACTATTTTGTCGGTTGATCATAAATATGAGTGTATACACACACACACACACACACATCATACGTGAACGTTTCAATAACTTTCGGTGCGTTGTTCAGGTGTCTCTTTCTATTTCCCCCACCCGTTTGAGGTTCAAGACCTGTTACCGGGACATTGTGTGTCTGAAACTTGATTATCGGAACACCGTTGACTCGACAACAACATCATCCAATGCGATCTCAACATCGTTAGCGTGGTAGGAAGAAGGGGGGGGAGGCAGGCGGGTAATGCTACCCGACGAGTGATAATTTGTCTCCGTAATCGTAGATAGTTACGCGGGAGGGAGAGGGGATTTCTGTCTCAACAACTTCTCGCCCGTCGATCATTATTTATTTTATGCGTTTGCTCGTTTTTAACAGTTCCAATTGGCAAGGCACACACACACGAATGATGTGCTGAGGATGTGGACGTACAGGCCGGAATGAAGCGCAGGAAGATTTACTTTGGTGTCACTGTCATCCTTATCATCGATTCGCCATCTCAATTTATTTGACATACAATCTACTTACTACTTTGGCTTTTTCACACACAAGAACCGCCAAGAACCCTTTTTTTCGGCTTGGCTTCACAGGCAAAAGCGTGCATGCGTGCGCAGAGAGAGAGAGCACAACCGGAGCAAGTTACTCTGTGTGTATTAGAGAGGTCAAATGCATGCACGCATAAAAAGAGCCAATCAAACCATCAGAAAAGAAAAACAAATCGCGGACCAATAAAATTCTGTTCATAACCAAGCCATTCGGGTGCTCAGCTGACTCCATAAGCAGCCAATCACATCGCGTTTAGTAGATCGTGTTGTGCGACAAAATACATCAACTGAAGGTTGCCATACTCTATCCAAGCACATGCAAACGATCAAAATACACTGACGGTTAAAAAAGAAAAACTAGGACCTCACTTAATCAAAAAAATGAACGCACAAAATATCTAATCGTTTTGATCTGTGCCAACAACTACAAAAGCCATAATAAATCCAAGCAGGCACCTTAGCAGTTTATGGTGACCACAGGAAAGGAAACTAGCAAACCGTTGTCAACGCCTCATTTACAGATATCCCTTAGCAATAGGAAACAACTTTGCAATTACTCTTCACATTTGCACCAGACTCTTCACTTTTGAGGTTTTCTACATTCTTTTCGTTGTCTGGCGAGGTTCAGTGAAATTAAGATCTGACGATTTGCTATACCACAGTATGCAGCCAACGCCAAGATAGTTTTCATACGTGTTTGTATTAGGGTCAGTATGCCGGGCCGTTGTAGTCTTGGAGGATAAACATTGTCTCTGTTNTCCGGATTAGATTAAGACCGGCCTCGTTCTCCCGACAGATCATATAGCTACTCACATCGTAAAGAGACATCACCATCTTACAAAGTGAATACCACTCACTTATCCTGTTTGTGTAACCCTATCTATTCCATCTTCTGACTTTCGTCTTTCACCTAACACGCGGAATTGCTCCATTCTATGTTAGTCCACTGTGCTCTATATCAGTAATCCCAATGTATTGCTATATGAGGCATGTACTCCGGTGATAGTCGGTCATTCGCGGAATCCATATCGACCGTCGCGCAATCAGATACCGCTATCACTACACATTTTTTCATCAGGCTTTAGCTAAAACCCGCAATTCTCGAGCCTAAACCATCGAATTTGTGTCAAAAGTTGCAGCATTAATAAATTGATAATGGTAATGGAGGGGTATTTTTGTGAACGATGTTTATTATTCTCGGGCTGTTAATGTATCTAGCTCTCAAAAAAAAACGGAGTTCGTTTTAGGTGGAGATACGGAACAGTAAGCACTCATTTTTTGTGGTATCACCTTTGATATATGTCAGGACTTGCAAATACAAAGCAATATACCGGTTGTGTTACGTTTGAGACTTTTACTTACGGGAGTAGGGCATTTTAAATTTTCCTTATAGTACCGTCATGCAGCATTCGATTCATCCTCCCATCAATGAGTGATGCGATATTGGATACCATTACGACAGTCATTTGTGCAGCATACCTCACCACAATTTCTCATTTCTTTACCAAGCATTACAACATCAAAATTTATAGAAACTAAATGTTTCAACATTCGTTGACCACAGAATATATTCCGATACTTTTTGATCTGGCTCGCCCACAGCGGTGGAATTAAAGTTTGTACGTCGAGGCTAAAGGACTGCGGGTTGTGGCTAAAGCTTGTTGGTGTAGTATATGCTCGAAGATAGAAAGGACAGAGTCACGTTTTAGGGATGAAGTGCGTAGAAAGAGATTCCACCGGAAACAGACAAATATCGTTCGTTGTAGCTGGCTTTTCACTTGTCACAGAAGGTCAACCAATATCAGAGAGGGAGAGACAATGACACGCACCGACGATTACTTTGTTGCGTTCTACGCAGTTGGAATCCGCAAATCTTTCGAAATGCGATAAGACGAACTTTCCGTAAATCGAACAAATCACCGGTTGCCTGCTTTCATTCATTTCGAACGGAAACGAGGAGGATGCGGAATGCATTTTTCTTGCCCAATAGGGGAAATGAAAATCAGTCGATAATGGTGAGTCTGGTCTGGGAACGCGGATTGAAGTTCAATGAAATATCATTCTCAGGTCATCCATGTGCTGCAGTTTGGAAACTGTGACCAAAGGCCCTCGGTGACCGGATAGATGGACTGGTGTGGGATTCATTCTGGCAGAGTGGACTAACAGTGCAATATCTGTTTGTAACAATCACCGTCTCAGTGCAATTCGGGAGTTTTGAGTTGCCCATTTTTTGAACTTACCGTTACCGCATCTGTGGTGTTCGCCGTCTCACATGGACGCAGAGCGAGGTGAAACCGACAGATAGACAAATTGAAACGGTTCTCGAAGGCGTTAAGTACAACAACTGATACGAGAAAAACAAATGAGGACAGGTTGTGACTGGGTATGCAGGCCTTCCGCTTAACGAGCGATATTCCGGTGTGCACTGTTGAGAAATACCAATGCAAAGATGAACGGGGAGGCAATTAACCGAATGTGATCGTCCACCTGGCTTGATTGATCCAGTGTTTGTGTTTTGAGGTGTGCAGAAACAGTGTTTTCCCTCGGTTATCGAACGAACAAACCAAACTCGTAAATAAACATTTGTTCTGTGAAATCCTCAACCGAATTTCTATCCAAACAAGGATGGCAAGTTCTATTGTGTGCAGGGAGACCACACATGTTTTGTTTCCAAAGAGTCGTAAATGATTGGAAATCAAAATATTATTGTTCTGTTCATGGTTTGTTGTTTGTGCAAAAACAGAACAGAAAAGTGGGTCGTCCAGGTTGAGCGCATACTAATTAATTCGATGCGATTTGATGTTTTATACACGGACCCTATTGCATCGATTTCTCTGGAGCGATATTGATCGGCTGGTAATCGCGATTGACTGAATCAAAATGAGGAAACCCAAGGATACGGGAAGTGTGAAACGGAAGTTAAACGAAGCTGACGGTCGGGAACATCTAAGATAAGTTTGAAGATTAATGGTGATAGCTCAATCGATTGCCAGTCACATTTTCTCATCAGACAGAAATACTGTCAGAGTTGATTTTTTTAAACCGGAGGAGGTTGAAATACGTCACATCCGCACTGGGGATGTGGGTATTGAACTGGGGTAAGATTTTGAGGTCTATACATTGAGACGGAAGTGATATAACTTTGATTGTTCTGCGCAACTTTACCAATCCTGACCAAATGGAACACGAGCGACGTCAGCAGCGCAAAAAAAACAATTCAATCCAATAGCCAATTGAGTTTACGCAATAGGATGTTACCAAAGGCCCAACAAGTCCTTAATCCGAGACCAATAGCTTTGATTCAGAAATTTCTACAACAGGAAACAAATAATATCACGATTGGTCCAAACCAGAGTGTAAACCTTATTCACAAGGCATGACTCGGTGGTGTAGGGAGTAGGTCACCAATCGGAGTGGGGCCTCTATAAGATCAGCTTCTACGCCATGTTATATATACTAGGAATGTCATACAAACACACGCACACACACAGAAGCTCACCTCAATCAAACTAGCGCGTAACTCCAGCTCGGCATCGGTAGCGGATGTTTTGCGCCCAACTGAGTGGAAAAAATCAGCTCGGTATTTCGGCCGAGACAGTTCCATTCGAATCGCGGCCAACACGGACTCTTTGGTCGGAATGTCTAACGGGAGGGAGTGCAATTCCCGAGAGATCAGCCGGTCTGTGCGCGAATCCAAACTGATCATGGAGGCCGGTTGCGATGGGGAACGGGAAGGTTCATTTTGAGTAGAATATCTGAACCCGGTGGCCTGCGCAAAACGAAAATGTTACACATAATTGCATGAACACACATAAGGAGCCTCGTATAATAATGGGCTTATATCGTCCGGACTAAAAATGTGACCTATCTGGGTGTTGACTTCTTTGGGAATTTGAATTAATTTTGCATTGAAATCACTTGAGTGCAGTTAATGAAGTGTTATTTTTGTTCATATAAGATTAGTTGGTTACACAGTGTGATAAAAACTAGGAAAAAACGGGTTGCGCCAGAACAGCATTCACTTATAATGATGACACGTAACAAAAGCGTAGATAAATATCCCATTATTTGGATTCGTATTTGGCTCTGTTCATATCAGTTGGTATCCGAGAGTACTAAGACCACATCTAATGGGATTCAAATGTTTCACTGGCAAGTCAAAGTCTCGGTGGAATGGAATGAAATAACCGAATAGGAATTGTAAAATCGTTCCGATGAAAAGGATTTCTGCCCCACCCCACCCCACCCTCTAATCAGCACATTCCTACAAACGCATCACCTGGAGTACATTTGTGAACAATAGACAGCAAAGTGCACCGCTTTATCGTCCAAAAACAAAATGAAAGATGCAGGTCGGACTGAATACAAGAGCTACCAGAAAGGACAGCAACTAAAGACAGACACCACAACAAAATTCATGATTACTGATTGCATAAACTGTACTAATAATTAGTTTCCACTTTCAAGGAACAGTACAAATGTACTTGATCAAAAATAATAGGAATCGTTCAACTTGTTTACTTTTCCCGAAGTGCACACACTTTCTTTATCAGGAGGAGGTCCACTTTTATGCGTCCGTTTTCGGTCTCATTTTGATTATCACTGCGTTTCATCAAAACAGGAGAAATCCGCTCACCTGTTTTGCATACGACAAACCAGATAAGAACTGAATAATTTTTTTTAAACCAAGTGATACGCGCACTGCATTCTCGACCGAGTTCACTGCAACAAATGCGCTATTGGACAGTGGAGTTGTTGCACTTCACTGGATGATTGGCATGACCTCATAACTCCATTCTGAGCAAATCATGCCCATATGCGCATATAGGGACAGATTGATTTATTACATGGAGGTTTTGTGAGAAAGAGACCGTATTGCTCCATGATACTAATCGATTATCGATTCATCCATCCACTGTGTTTAACTATGTCCCTACTCCACATGGACGCAGTACAGTGAGATGAATGAATAAAGACGCAAAAAGCGGAATGCTATCTTCTAGGAAGTCGTATGATACAACACGTGTGGCAGCCTAGTCTGCGGACGAATTATGTATTTTGTGTCCTGACTTGATGGGTCATGGTTTACACAATCTCACACAGGTTCTCATTGTAAATAACATGTGTCGAGCCAAGAAAGTGAACCTTCTAACTTCAACGAAAGCGCGCTTAAAGATTTCCTCGACTGCCGTAAACCATTCTACACTGTACACACCTTCCTGTTTCGCCAACTTTCCTCAATCTCACCTGCCTCGCATATTTTTACTTTTATTGAGTTATTTAAATGATCGTTCTAACAGTAGTGCCTCGGGTGGAAATACTCACGCGTCCTACTTCGATTACCCTTCAAGTTTCACTAAATCCTCCACCAGATGAAACCAATCTTCGTCCTCAATACACTTAGCGTACTCTGATGTGCACAGGAAAACAGGCGTGTTCGGCTCGAACGCTCGGGACCCCAGTCATCGATGTGTTTTGTATTCAAGATGCCAGCTTCATTATCCGATTGATGGCCCAATCAGACCGATCTGTGAAGTTTCACTTACGCCTCTCTAGGGGCCCTGAGGCTGCGGTCTTACTGGCGTTGGCGTGGCTCTCAATGAGAAAGAGCTGAAACCGCGCTCCTGGATTGGATTCCAGTCGGAATTAGGTTATGCGTAGTGACACTCAGAGATTCGTGAAAATTGAGCGGCCGTCGCCTTGATACATGCAAAAGGTTTGAATAGTCGGCGAACGTCTCCACAGCCTGCAGCCGAAACTCATTGAAAGATCTCAGTTACCAAAACTACACAAACTCTTGTTTAAAGCCAGTTGTCATCGAGCGAAGCGCACCGGGGAGGTCCTTTCGGACTAGATTCCTGTCGGTCGGAAAACGGCTGTTGGTTCTATGTTCTGACCACCGCCAGTACGAACTTCGGCCGGTACGCCAAATGACATCCGCCCTTGAGTCAGCGAAGGACGCAGATAGACCTCATCACTAGAAAAATGGCGGAACTGCCTACAGGACTGCCGTTCCTAATCCACCGCAATTGTTTGCTTTCTGTGTTATTCTGTTCTGCAACTCAATGCCCCATTTTGTTACTATTTTTTTGCATTGGTACCACGTTTGTTCGCAAGCCGTATATATATATATATATATATATATATATATA